GATGATGTGCCCTGTAAACTTTCACTCAATCCACAGTAAAAACCTTAAATTAAAAAAAAAAAAAAAAGTACCAATAGAATATTCCTTAGAAGCCATTATAGCCAGACTTTGTCTCTCAAACTTCAACCATATTATCAAGAGAGACCAGTCCCTGAAGAAGGTAAATGCTTGGTAAAGTGGAGGATCAAAGAAAAAGAGCAAGACCCCCCAAAAGATAGATTTGTACAGTGGCAGCAGCACCTAACAACACCACCACCAGGTACTAATAATACCTGCCATGTTCCTAAAAACTATACTCAGGTACAGGCATTCTGCTAGCACTTTACAATTTCTTAGTATCTTCACAGCAAACCTATAAGATTCCCAATTTAGAGATCAAGAAACTGAGGCTTAGAGAAAATAACGAAATTGTCCCAGATTTCATTTCTTAGTAAATCCTGGAACCAGGACAAAAATCAGATCCAAGTTCGTCCTTACAATATTCTACTACACTAACTGGTAGCATAGTGGTTACAAATCGGGCTGCGAACCTTAAGGTCAGCGGTTCGAAACTACCAGCCGCTCTGTGGGAGAAAGATGAGGCTTTCTACTCCCGTAAAGATTTATACCCTCAGAAACCCTGTACAGGGTCGCTATGGGTCGGAACCAACTCGATGGCACTTAACAACAACAACAACCTCTTTATACGCAGCGTATTCCAAAGCACAGCTGTATTGGCAACACAATTAGAGGTCAGGTTAAGGCCTTGGACCCTGGAGAACAATCCTTAAAATCAACTTTGATGCTTGTTGCTGTTGTGGTTAGGTGCCATCGAGTTGGTACCCACTCAAAGCGGCTCTACTTACAACAGAATGAAACACTGTCTGGTCTTGGGTCAATCTCACAATCGTTGCTAGTAGGTGTGTAATGCTGGTCAAATTTTCCACTTTCTCTTTTTCTATTTCTCCATTGATGGAAGGGAGATACTAACAGTATCAATATCATAAGATTGTTTTAGGAGTTAAATAAGCTAATATTTATAATATACTTAGAACCAGGCCTGATAGATAACTCTATACAAGTATGTTAGATAAAATGTTATCATATGTACTTAAGAAGCAATTTTTTTCAAAGCCTGCATAGTATGCCACTGAGTGGGTATAGCATTATTAACCTATTTTGCTATCAGGACTCTTGAGGTGACACTGTAGGATTAACAGTTGACTGCTAACCACAAGGTTGGTGGTTCTAACCTGCCAACAGCTCCTTGGAAACCCTATACAGGATCACTATGAGTCAGAACTGACTCATTGGCACTTAACAACAATTTTGCTATCAAGGAGCCTTGGTAGTATGGTGGATTGTGAGCTGGGTTACTAACTGCAAGGTCACTCAATAGTTTGACTATACCATTCACTCCGTAGAAGAAAGATGACGTTTTCTGTTCCCATAAAAATGTGCAGCCTAAGAAATCCTAAACGGGGTTGCTATGAATTGGAACTCACTCAGTGCCACACAGCTGCCACTACCACCACCACCTTCTGCCATCAGTGGTTGCAGTTTCACATTGTTATAAGTACTATTTTAGAGAAGACGTTATTCATTGTTCTTTTTGGTATTTTTGCTGTGTGTAGATGATGAAGCTTTCTACTCCCGAAAAGATTTACAACCTCGGATACCCTGTGCAGGGTCACCATGGGTTGGAACCAACTCAACGGCACTAAACAAGAACAAATAGATGATTTTATTAGCTAAAGTCTGTGCCTTTTGGGAGTTCACTGAAGCCATTAAGTGTCTGAGCTCTTCAGAGGTGCATGGCTAACTGCCACTTTATTGCTGAACGGGAAAGGAATGTTTTGCTTAATGTGCTCATTTCATATCCTGTTCAAGGCGACAAAGATGGCCTATAAAACAGAATAATTCTTTTTAGCTGAACATGTTATACTGATATAGTTGAGACAGGGATAGCTTCTATTCCCACAAACTAGGAATAACTGTGAGGAAAATTTGTTACTTGTATAAACCTCTACTTTTCAAAAAAGCATGCTGGATATGACCACAGAGCACATTAACGCTGGTCTTCAGAGGTCTCGTGATCAACATTTCCAAGCAGGTCATTAATCTTCAGGAAATGCTTAACATTTCGATTACTAGTTGCTTATTTGAGGATGTGAATAATTTAGTAAAGAATGATTACATGAATTTGAACAAAGACAAGACTGTTTTTCTAATATACAGAGCAGCACCCTCTAGTGACCACAGTTGGTAATTGTAAAAAATTAAAGAAAAAATGTTGGAAACAAAAGATTTTTATAAACTTAAGTTTGAACTAGCAAAAAAAAGCATGTTTTTGTTAACAGGAGAAAAATAAACAATGTTTTCCTGAATGTGAAATAAAAAGCTCGACAACTCTAAATTAGATGACTTTCTTTAGAAAGAAATATTTAAATCCTCACTTTACAATAAACCTAACATTGAGGTTTTGTTTCAATAAATTTATTTTCTGTTTCACAGGTCAGAAAAGGTTCTTTGTTTGAAATTATTTCCTTCCCAGCAAAGACTGCTTTAACTAGCATAATGTATGCTTCATATGCAGCACTAATTTATTTGGTAAGTTAATTCTTAAAATCCAGAAATAAATATAGTAATTATATGTGATATTAAAGATAAAATACACAGTTCATTCATAAACCGAAGTACCACACTGTTGTTAAACAAAATAATTTTATATTATAAATTTACTCTTCTGATGAGTCTAAGTCAATGTATCATAAACCAACATAACCAGTTTTACTTATATAAAATTAGTATGTTAGCATTTGAAGATTTCTGGTTCAAAATGTTTCATTTAGCTACAGCTGTTTTGTTGCAGACATTGTGCCATGTTTAGCCAAGTTCAGTATTTTATTATTTGGGGTCTATGAATTACAATTGCTGTGTACAACAAACATATTAAGGATTTAATAAATGGTAAGTGGCTATTTTCTTTTCATCCATTTCCATTTATGCTATTGTTGTTAAATGCCTTCAAGGCAGCTCCAACTCACATGGCCCTATGTGTAATAGAAAGAAATGTTGCCCTGTCCTGCACCGTCCTCCCAACTGTGGCTATGTCTTGAGACCATTGCTGCAGCCACTGTATCAATCTATCTCATTCAGGGGCTTCGTCTTGCTCTATTTGACCAAACATAATGCCCTCTTTCAGGGATTGGTCCCTCCTGAGAACATATCCAAACTAAGTGATGCTTCTAAGGAACAATATGGCTGTACTTCCCCCAAGACAGATTTGTTCATTTTTCTCAAAGTCCTTATTACTCACCACCACCACAATTCAAATACATTGATTATTCGGTCTTTCTTTTTCATTTTATAGCTTTTTTATTTCCATTTATACTTACCAGCAATTTAAAAAACAAAAATATGTACATAGGAAAAAAGTGCATAGCTTGATGAATTATTACATCTATTTATCTAAAATCAAGGTTGAGAAACCAAATATTACAGTCTTCCAGAAAGCTTCTTTATTGTCTATTCACAACCACCAATCACTATTTTGATTTCTAATACCATAATTTGTCACTTTATGAATTTTATGTAAATGAAATCATACAGTATACATATAATTTTTTTTTTTGCTCAACATTATCTTTGTGAAATTTATTTATTGCCTCTAATAGTTTGTTCATTTACACACATTGCTATATAATATTCCACTGGTTGAGTGTATCCCTATTTACTCATTCTAGTATTTAAGGAGCCCTGGTGCACCACTGTGGGATAAACATTTGGCTGCTAACTGCCAGGTTGGTGATTCAAACCCACCAGCTGCTCCATGGGAGAAACATGAGGCTGTCTGCTTCCAATCTGGGGCTATTATAAATACAGTTACTATGAATATTCTTATGCTAATGAAGTTGCTGGTAGATATTGACATACAACTTTCCAAAATAGCTTTAACAATTACACTAATTCCAGAAGACTGTAAGAGTCCCAGTTGCTCAACATCATCACTGACATTTGGTATTGTCAATGTTTTCCACTTTAGTGGGTACGTAATGGTGAGGAAAATGGTGGTATGCCATGGAGTCAATTCCGATTCATAGCGACCCTGAACAGGGTTTCTGAGGCTGTAAATCCTTAGAGGAGCAGAACGCCTCATCTTTCTCCTGTGGAACAGCTGGTACTTTCGAACTGCTGACCTTGAGCCCAATTTGTAACCACTATGCTACCAGAGCTCCTAGATGAGGATAATACTCAATATAAATACAAATCTCTAGCTTTTCACTTCTCTGATACCAGGTGCAACATGCAACACTCCTTTCTGATGGTAGCCGCCCTGAGCTAGGTCAGACATCACAAGTTAAGAGACCATTCTTCAGACCAGCTGCCCATGCAGCACTTTTCTCTCTGACCCTAGCCACCTGGAGCAAGGTCACATCTCACAAGTCAGAAGTCCTTGAGATTGCCAAATAAGTAGATGTCAGCCACCAGTTTGGGTGTACATACACCACCCCAACTTCTGACCTGCGGGCTACAAATTGAGCAATTTCCCTCTCTATCCATTCAGGATACCAGCTCCATGCTTAGGAGGCCCCCTGGGCTCTCTCACTTCTGACCAGCTGGCTCCCACTAATCCTTTGGGAACAACTTTTCCTGAGGACCTCCCAAACTCACAGAAAAATACTATACTTACTACAATCTTGTTGAAGGAAAAATGAAAAAGAAAAAAAAGGCTATAAATGAAGATACACAAAGGACAAGGTCCTAGAGGGTTCCTAACATGAAGCTCCCATGTCCTAAAAAGGGACATGCTACCCTCGGACATGCATGGATGTAATTTAGCAACTAGGAAGTGCATGGATGTTTTCTTGTGCTTCCATTGGAGTGGGAGTGTGGGAGTGGAGGTGTCTCCTTATGCAATGCAAACTTCAATACCTTTCCCATGACAACTGACCAGCCCCTCTTCCCTGAGATTAGTCAATATCACGAGGTGATCATGAGATACTATAACAGCATGGGTCCTTCTGGACTAGCCAGTCTCCCCAAGTCACCTCATCACTTCATCCCTGGTTAGGTTTGGTTTAGAATTCTTATGGAAGACACTTAAATTCCAAGGTTTTTAGAGATCTCTGAGAAACAGAGGGCAAAGACTAAATTCCTTGGGTAAGGTCACTAAGTGTCAGAATCGACTCCACAGCACTTAAAACAACAAGGTTGTTGTTATCTCATAGTGGTTTTCATTTGCATTTCCTTCATCATTGAGACTGAGTACCTTCTCATATCTCCTTTGGACTTTCGGTTATCTACTTTTGTGAATTCCTGTTAGTATCTTTTCATTTGTTTATTGGGAGATGACTTTTTATTATTGACTTGTTCTTTATATAAAAGTTACAAGCTCTCTTTTGGTTATATGTGGGCAAATGTCTTCTTTTACTCTGTGGCATATCTTTTCACTCTCTTAGCAGTATCTTTTAAAATAAAAGTTCTTAATTTTAATGCAACCACGTTGGGTTAGTGCTTCTTGTATCTTATTTAGGGAATCATAACCCCCAAGGCCCTGACAATGTTCCTCTGTTATATTTGAAGGAATCCCTCTGAAAATGTGGTTAATGTGCTCGGTTGTCAATCAAAAGGTCAGTGGGTCAAACCCACCCAAGTGCTTCATGGGAGAAACATTTGGTAGTCTGCTTTTGTAAATTACAATCTTAGAAAATCCTGTGTTAGTTCTACTCTGATCTATAGGGTCTCTATGAATCAGAACTGATTGGATGGCTGTGGGTTTGTTGTTGCTGTTAAGTGCCGTAGAGTCGTTTCCAACTCATAGCAACACTGTATAGGGTTTCCAAGGAGCAGTTGGTGATTTGAACCACCGACCTTCATCCAAGACTTTTGACAGTCTACGGTATATTCAATATTTGTCACCAACACCATAATTAAAAGGTATCAGTTCTTCTTCAGTCTTCCTCATTCAATGCAACTTTCACATGCATATGTAGTTGTTGTTAAGTGCTGTCGAAACAGTTCATAGCGGTGATTAAAAATACCATGGCTTGCATCAGGCACATTCAAAATGGCATCTTTGCTCTTCAACACTTTCAGGACATGTTTTGCAGCAGATTACATTGTTTGATTTCTTGACTGGATGTTGACTGTGAATCCAAGCAAAATGAAATATTTGGCCATTTCAGTATTTTCTATGCTTATATCATATTGTTGTTAATGGTCCAGTGTGATTTTTGTTTTATGTTGTTTTAAGTGATTTTGTTTTGTTTTACATTTTGTTGAAATGTAATCCATACTGAAAGCAGTATTCTTTAATCTTCATCAGTATGTTTCAAGTCCTCTTTGCTTTCAGCAAGCAAGGTTGTCCATCTGAATACTGCAGATTGTTAAAGGAGCCTTCCTCCTGTCTTGATGTGAAGTTCTTCATATAATCCAGCTTCTTGGATTATTTGTTCAGCATACAGATGGAACAAATATGGTGAAAGGATACAACTTAATTAGACTTGTGGAATTAGGCAGTTCCCAGGTTTGTAACATTGATGGACAATACTATCAAGAATCTGAAGTCTTACCATAATTCTCCTCTGCTCTCCTGTTTGTTATTTTTTTATCGTTAGGCCTGTTGCCTCATACTCAAGCATCACATCCATGATTATTATCAAAGTAGGCAGGGAAGGTATACTGTTGTTAAGTGCCGTCTAATTGGTTCAACTCACAGCGACCCTTTATCAGGTTTCCGAGGAGCAGCTAGCTGGTGGGTTTGAACTGTTGACCTTGCAGTTCAACTCGACCTTGGGGTCCAGTGCATTATCCTGCAGCACCTTTCCTTGTATCTAGGTTAGGTGAGGAACATCTGGTCCACCGGCCTTAAATCATTTGATCTGGCCCTACCAAGGCAACCATAGTTCCAGCCATTACGTTGTTGTTAAGTGTCATTGAGTCAGTTCTGACTCACAAGGACCCTGTACAGGGTTTCTGAAGAGCAACTGGTGAGTCTGAACCACTGACCTTGCAGTTCAAACCAACATTGAGGTCAGATGCTTATCCTAAGGGTGCTTATCAGGACTCCTAATCATCACATTTTGTTGTTGTTGTTAAGAGCTGTCATCACATTGGGAGTGAGTTAATTAAATGTTTGACCACATATAGCAAGCTAATTTTTAAGTTGAGAATTTGTATGGCCTGTGAATGATGTTATACATTTCAGCACACACACAAAAAAATTGATCTAGAAACTTTCCCTAAAACCACTCCTAACCTTCTTTCCAGCAGACATTCCATGTGCACATTTAATGCACATTTAAATGCAAGAAAATTAGTGAGGTTCCCTGCTTTACAGAAAGGAGGCGGCAAGATGGTAGGAGAAAATACAGCTATTCAATTCTGAAGGTCTCAATCCCTTTTCCAGTACCTTCTTTAGGAAACCTTCTAAGTGTTTGTTGTTCATTGTATCACCTCCAGGCATCTTTTCTGTAAAATGAGCTAGTTTCAGTCTACTTCAGGAATTTCCTTATTTTTATCCCTTGTCTTAAATACTTAGCATTAACATCATCCTCATCGCTATAGTCAGGAAGATTTACTTATTTGCTGTTGTTGTTAAGTTCTAGCCAGTCGGTTCCAACTCATAGTGACCCTGTACAGGGTTTCTGAGGAGTGGCTGGTTCAAACTGACCTTGCGGTCCAGCTCATTAACCTGCAGCGCCATACCAGGACACTACCACTAATAAACTTACAAAGTAACTGTAACGGATACAGTTCTTAGTGATTCCAATTTTTGAGGTTATTTTTCTCTTAGGTTTGATTTTGATACCATCTCCTTAAAGTAATAAAAGATATATTTTTTAAAGAAAGTGGCTCACACTTCTGTTTAAGAATCATTGAACTACTACTAGGTTACTAGATTCTTAACAAAATATTCACATCCTTCCCACTGTATACACAGGTACAAGCGGTGTAGGGTGATTAGGGAGTTAAAACAAACCAACAAATTCCTTCAAAACATATTTTATTTAATTAACTCAGGTGAATAAACGTCTCAAACATATAATAAGTATGCGGGGGAAAGATGTAAAGTCCATCCTTACAGAACCATTCTAAAGTTGAAGTTTCCATCTACACTGTGGTGTAATAAATTTAAAACAAAAAATCAAACTTCTCATTCTTACCATGTACCAAGGGTTCCTTTATTAGAATATGTAGATTAATAATTTTACATTATGCATATTTTATTATGCTTCAAGGAAGCAGCTTAAAAGGAAACCTTACTTTTCAAACACCATTTTTATTATCTAGACGGTCTGTGTGAATGCTGTGTTGGAGAAGGTAAAGAGCATTTTCCAGGAAGAAGACTCTATACGGCAAAGCAGAGAGGAGAGTGAAAATCTTAGAAAAGCCTTTTCTGAGCCCGTGCTTTCTGACCCTATGTTTCCGGAAGGTGAAATCAAAGCAAAACCTTACAGGTCATTGCCGGAGAAGCCAGACAACGTTTCAGATCACCCCAAGCTTCCTGCTAATAAGTTGAGTAATAAGATCCAGGTTTTACATTCTGTGTTTGACCAATCAACTGAAATGAATTAATGAGCAAATCTGAGCATACATATCACTAAACAGAGCTCAATAGGTATGTATCTGATAGCACATTTCATCTGACAAAGCTATGAGTCAATTTCACATATCTTGAAGGTTCTGTTTTTAATAAAAGGGGGGTGGGGAACTATTTTAAAATGTCATTTGTTCTAGTGTTTATATGACAGAAAAAAATAAAATGAAAATCTTGATGTAGAATATAAATATGACTAGAAGACATTTTTAATGAACAAGAAAAGTCAACTTTTGGTAGACCAGTCTTTATGCTGTGATTTATAATGTGAGCCTTCCTTATAATAAATTTTGTTTTATAAAAGACCTAATTTGAATGTTTTTCTAGTCCTTTGCTGCTGTTGTTATTGTTGTTGTTGTTAAGCACTTTTGAGTCAGTTCTGACTCACTGAAACCTTGTATAGGGTTTCTGAGGAGCAGCTGGTAGGCCCTGACCTTGTGGTTCAAACCGACCTTGCAGTCCAGCACATTAACCCACAGGGACCACCTTTATCTTGGGAAAAACCCTATCAAAATGCCACATATTCTTTTTCAGAGATCAGTGAATACTTACTTTCTATCTGCAGGCTGCTTAGTTTGAGTAGCCCTATTAGCAATTCTTTTTAGAACTTATCTGTAAGTTATAAAGAAGGGACTTACAATTCATAGATGTCACAAGTTTAAAAAACAAAATATTATTTGCAAATCTGATTAGATTTCTGTAGATGAAGACAAGTCAGGACATGACATTTTTTATGCCCAGATTCAGAGAAAACAGTGGAAATTTAGGCCAAGAAATCAAACACCATATTAGTCATTAATGGCACTGGGTCCTAAGAAAAAGTGTTTCTGTAATCTGTCCTGCTAACCAAGGACCATGTTTTTTGCCTACAGAAATTACTTTGATTTCTTCCATGTGCTTTACATTTTGGACACTTTAGTCTTGAATGGTCATTGATGGATTAGCATCTGCTGTAATAGACTGGTATTTCCTGTGCCTGATGAGTGTTGTTGTTAAGTACCATCAAAGTCAAGTCAGTTCTGACTCATAGCGACCCTGTATAGAGTTTTCATGCTGGACTTGAATTGCTGACCAGTCCAGTGCTTATCCTACAGCACCACTCCAGCGCCCAGCAAGTAGCTGTTGCTAAAAGCACTAATTCTAAAACTCTCAAGCCTGGCTCATTAGTAGTCTGGAAATAAATAGCAAGTGTTGTATACCTTCATGCTACCCATACACTGACAGATAAATAAATGTAATAAGTAGCAAGGGCCTAAGCAGAACCTTTATGATATATACCTAAGTTACTACTATTCTTACAATAGCCAGAGGAAAGATTTCAGGTAGGTCCTTTAGAATGATTACATATCAAGTATGGAACCTTAATACAACCCACATTAAAAAGAGTACCATGCTTAAGACTATAGGTTTCAATCTAGACAAACAGCTTTGCTCCACTCTAGAGTCATAATCTCTCACTCTAATCTTTTCTGGTTATACTTGCTCCTCTAGCTTCTATTCTACTATGAGATGCTGAGTATTACATGGCCAGTTCCCAGAGTTTTAATCTAAATATTTAACAACGAATATTGCCTACTACCACTTGTCTGTCAGTTTGTCATACTGTGATGGCTTATGTGTTGCTGTGATTCTGGAAGCTATGCCACCGGTATTTTAAATACTAGCAAGGTCACCCAAGGTGGACAGGTTTCAGCTGAGCTTCCAGATGAAGACAGACTAGGAAGAAGGAGAGACGGACTACTTCTGAATATTTAATCACTAGAAACCTTATGGATACCAGTGGAACACTTGTCAGCAACCTTGCTTGCTGAAAACAAAGATGGCTTAAAATACTTACTGATGAAGGTCAAAGACCACAGCCTTCGATATGGGTTGTATCTCAATGTAAAGAACACAAAAATCCTCACCACTGGACCAATAAACAATATCCATATAAATGGAGAAAAGATTGTAGTACTCAAAGACTTCATTTTGCTTGGATCAACTATCAACACTCATGGAAGCAGCAGTCAAGAAATCAAAGCACATGTTGCATTAGGCAAATCTGCTACACAAGACCTCTTTAAAGTGTTGAAGAGCAAAGATGTCAGCTTGAGGACTAAAGTGCACTTGACCCAAGCCATGGTATTTTCAATAACTTCATATGCATGTGAAAGTTGGACAGTGCATAAGGAAGACCACAGAAGAATTTATGCCTTTGAGTTACGGTGCTGGAGGAGAATACAGAAAGTACCATGGACTGCCAAACGAACAAACAGATCTATGTTGGAAGAAGTATAGCCAGAGTGCTTCTTGGAAGCCAGGATGGTCAGACTTCGTCTCTCATACTTTGGATATGTTGTCAGGAGAGACCAATTACTAGAGAAGAATATCATGTTTAGTAAGGTAGAGGGTCGGAAGAAAAGAGGAAGACCCTAGACTGTCACAGTGGCAGCAGCAATGGGCTCAAGTATAGCAACAATTGTGAGGTTGGCCTAGGACCGGGCAATGTTTGTTCGGGCAAAGGGTCGCTATGAATCGGTACCAACTTGATGGCACCTAACAACAAAAACAACACGGCCTAGGCATCAGGCAAACCAGAACAGCACTGGCCATAAATAACCGGCATGTCAAAACCACAGTGGAGCAACTGAACATCAACCCTGCCTGTGAACTCAGAAGAAAGGACACAGAGAAAACAAAACCCTGAATCTCTCTATAATGTTTATGTGAAACATTTTGTTGTACACACATGCACTGTTTTCTAAAAATAAGAAAAAAGTTTATTTAAAAACCTCATCTAGGCATTTAAATCACTTAGGCCCACTGTAGAGGAGACTTCACCCCTCTCACAGCTGTGTGTGCCGTTTCCGGAGAAAAATTGAGCCAAACTTTGTATGATTTTGATGTCTAGTACATTGGGAAGTTCCTCATTTTTAAGTTTAGCATGTAAATTGATCCCATTTTGGGAGATAATTTAAAATATTAAAATGTTTGCTACAGATTTGTATAACTTTATACAAAATTATAAAAATGATAAAGTTCAGATGTATTTCATTTCACTTAAATTTTGTTTTGTTTTAAATAATAACCAAATAGGAGTGGTTGGTAAGGTGTGCTGGTATAGGTGAAATAAAAATGGGGCAATGCTGATAGTTGTTGAAGTAGGGTGACATACACATGGGAGGTCATTGCACTGCTCTGTTTATTTTAAATATATTTAAAACACCCCAGAAGAAAGTTGCCTACACCAAATAGGGATTTTTCCCAGATAACTTAAAATCTTTCCTGCTAGGTCTCACTTTCTACCTTGAATTTATTTTGGATGCTCCAAATTATTTTTACTCTTAAATTGAACATTCTATGCAACAATCACCTTCAGGTCTCAATCTGTTTTAGAGGATTTGATGAAACATGTTCTGTAGATCCTGATGATAATTTTTGTATCATACTACATACATGTGCATTGTGAATTTATATGACTTTTAAAGATAGGTAATAATTGTGCCTATGTTGGGGGAAATTTTCATTATCTTTGGTACAGAAGCAAGGTTATTCTAAAAATATTCACAAAGTATTTACAATGTTTTTCTTTGCCATATACTTTTATCATTAAGAACTTTGGATTACCTTGAAGTTTCCAGTGGCATAAAAATCAGAGTCACATTTAAAAGGTTCATTGTTAAGAGTTACATATATATTCCCATTGTCCACTGTCACTTTATGAAGCCTTTGCTTTATTCCTTTGGAGCACCACTTGGGTTTGGCTGATGGGTCTTTGGGGTCTATAGCCTGATAGATTCCTTCTCCTGTTGCCAAAGTAATTTTGAATTTATGCCAGGGGCAAACAATACAAGATCGTCCATCAAAATCCTGGGAGAAGAAAACAATCAATTTAATAATCTGATGTTTCAAATGTTCATAATACCAGACTCAGAACCTATTGCAGAAGAACCAGATTAAAGAACAGGCCAATATTTTCCCTCTCATTTACAAATTATTTAGCACAAAGCAGGATCTAGTCTCAGCACAGTCATCAAATTCTTTTGCAGCTGATTAGAATCCAGTGGATTAGAGCACTATCAGAAGATGATTTGCTTGGCAACTATTACCACATAACTATGTTGTTGTTAAGTACCGTGGAGTCGGTTCTGACTCATAGTGACCCTGCATGGAGTTTCCAAGGCTGTAAATCTTTACAGAAGCACAAAGCCTCATCTGTCTCCCACGAACAGCTGGTAGTTTCAAACTGCCGACCTTGAGGTTCGCAGTCCAATTTGTAACCACTACGCTACCAGAGCTCCTTATAGCTGGGCTGTTATCTACTAGATATTAATGCCACTTCTTTGACAGAAATGGAGCAAAGGCTTTAAGTGCTTCTAAAATATTCACTAACCGCTGGAAACACTATACATTTAGTTATAAATTCCAGGGGATTATTAATAGCATGACTGCCTAAACCATTTGAAGAGCGACTTGTGATCCAAACAAACCAATGCCCAAGTTCAATGAACCCTGGTGTGGCACTGTAGGATCAGCACTGGACTGCCAACCACAAGATTGGCAGTTCAAATCCATCATCAGTTCTCAGAAACTCTATACAGGCTCACTGAGTATGAATTGACTTGAAAACACACAGTAACAACAATATCAACAAAGTGGTACTTCTCAAACTTTGAAGAGCATGGGAATCACCTGAATCATGTTGGGATCAGGGTGGGATCTGAGATTCTGCATTTCTAAAAATTCCCAGGAAACACATTAATACTGTTGGTCTGTGGATGACACTTTGAGTAGCAAAGACTTAAAGGTAAAGATAACAGGACATGAACAGACCAGTCACTAGGTTGTATTTTTTATTTCTAAAATTTTTATGATCAAATATCCATGTATGATTTATGCCCTATACTGAACAATGGGAATTTTCAACCATGTGGAAGATGTCCAGACTCATAACTGGTTTGTGGTAAGTTCACTCTACTATGGGATCTCGCCTCAGGACAAAGGCTGCCCGTGCATTCAGGTGAGATCCATTGTGTACCTAGACAGTCTTGAAGCAGAGTTACTTCAACTCCTTTATTATTTGACAAAATCAAAGGCTTAGAGCCTTATAGTGCTATCTAAGGAGCCCTAGTGTGGCACTGTAGGATAAGCACTTGATCATAAGGTCTGTTTAACCACAAGGTTGGCAGTTCAAACTCACCAGCAGATTCTCAGAAACCCTATACAGGGTTGCTATGAGTAGGAACTGACTTGATGGCACTTAACAACAACAACAAAGTGATATCTAACTACAACATTTATATTTGAAACACTGATGGACAAATTTTATAGACTGAAATAGAGGAGAGTCCTTGCATGAATGTCTCATCACCAAGCACTTATGTTTCTCTTCTACACTGATGCTGTACTCCATAGAAATGGTGGGAAACATTCATATGAACACATGTATGTTCTTCAACATGAGAAGTGAAGTATGGAAACAGGTTATCAAGTGGTGAGAATGGAAAGCTAAATTCAAGCTGTGCTTCCTTTACACCAGTCAGAAAGACATAGTCATCAGTTTCTTTAAGTAGACAGTAAGAAATTGGGACACTAGTTTTGAAACTAGCAAGGCAGTCTCCCCATTTCCTCCTTAGTTAAGCCTTCAAGTGTGGTTTCATTTATGTATGTGTGTATGTGTACTTACCTAATTATACATATTTGTGTTTATGTATGTTATACATTATAAAAGTAATAAGTACCCATTATAAGCTGTTGTGCATAAAGTAAAAAGTGAACATTATTTTTAATAAAAAAAGAGGTCTCATTAGATCATTAGATCTAATATGCTTCAACTTGCTTTCTTTACTCAAAAATACATTATTGATATTGCTTTCATACCAACCTACATAGGTCTACTTCATTACTTTAATGGTTGAGTAGTATTTCATTGAATGGTTGTATCATAATTTATTTCATCAGTTTCTTAATGCTAATACTTTTAAGGTTGTCTCCAATTATTTCATCATACTAAATAATGCTACAACAAATCTCACATTCATTCATATATGCACACATGCACACTTGAGCATTTGTACAATTATATCTGTTAGACAGACATCTGAAATTACAATTGCACAAATGCATAGGGGTGTGTGTGTGTATACACATTATAGAGTTCTTAATTTCTAGAATATTGGTGATTCAAAGCATTAAAATACAATCCAAACCCAAATTAAAATTATTTGAAATTACAGAATAAAATGATAGGAATCATCTGAAATTTAATTTTACGTACCTCTATTTCCCCCAAATGTAAAGGTCCTCCTGAATCTGAAAAGGAAATGAATATTACATCGGGTCACTAAAAAGACATATTTTGATGGTTTTGTGGTTAGTAAATAAATACAAGGTATACACATGAAAAATAAAATCTTACGGTAACAGCGAATATCCATAGCATGATATTCTCCTTTGTGGTAGAAAATGACTACTTCTCGATCATGAACAACAGCTGTCATTCTTCCCATTTTTTTAATGTCATCTTCTCTGCCAACACATACAGAAGAATATTCCTTCCTTTCAGGATTTTGTACAGAGCTGTTGAGTTCCATGCTAGTTGAACAACAAAAGAACGTTGTGCGTGGCCTTCATCAATTTGGCTACAACTTAATCCACAGAGATGATCATAAAAGTAGTCTGGATTTCTCTGAAACTAATGAAGCACTTTTTTTCCTATAGCTATATAAATTAACACATTCAAAAATACTGGATATAGTCATCAATATATTGCCAAAATTTGGAAGGACTCCCCAGTATGACACTAGACTAACATTAGCTTCATTTTAGTCCTTAAAGTAGGGGAGTACGGTGGCTGCAAACAAAAAGTTCACTGGTTTGAGCCCACCAGCCACTTTATGGAAGAAAGATGAGACTTTCTGCTCCTGCAAAGATTTACAGCCTCAGAAACCCTATACAGGGTCACTAGGAGTCTGGACTCATTTGACAGCACTTAATAGCACACACCAAAATGGAAATTTCAGAACTTTGACAGAGGATAAAATTTCACTATCCTTTTAACTCTAGTAGCATAGTGGTTATGAGTCAGGCTGCTAATCTCAAGGTCAGCAGATCAAAACTACCAACCGTTTCACAGGAGAAAGATGAAGCTTTCTGCTCACATAAAGATTTACAGCCTCAGAAACCCTATACAGGGTCACTATGAGCCAGAACTGACTCCACAACACGTAATCACCACCAACCACCACCATCCTTTTATTCCTTATCAAAGTCAATGTTTGTTATTGTTGTTGTGTATCATCGAGTCAGTTCCGACCCATAGTTACCCTGTAAAGGGTTTCTGAGGATCAGTTGGTGAGTTTCAACTGCCGATCTTGCAGTTCAACCTGACTTTTCAGTGCAGCACATTAACCCACAGCACCACACCAGGACTCCCAATATAATGCTAAACAATATCTAATATCTACATCATTTGCAACCTTCTGTTTAGAGTGGGATTCTTTGACAGTTTTAGCAGGCTTGAACCTCACATAGAAGATTTTTCTAAGGTCTCCCCTATGAGGCCCTTCATTTTTTTTCTATTATGGGTTTTGAAGAACGTTATGTACCCTGCCTTAACAAGAATGTCTATGTATTTACTCTTTCTCCATTCTTATTTTAAAATCTATCCTGTTATTCCAAGCCTCATCCTATTAGAGACAGGAGTTGTTATCCCAAAGCTTCTGGAAATATTCCTGCTTTTCGTATCTCAGGATAGAGATTGTAATGGTTTTGACTATAACTTTCAAAGGGTTGGTTAGAAAGTGCTTACTCCTCTAGAAAAAGTGCATATCTAGAAACTTTGTATGAAATGAGATAAAGATAACTGGATATGAACAGACCAGTCACTGGGTTGTATTTTTTTATTCTAAAATTTTTATTATCAAATATCCATGCAAGATTTATGCCCTATACTAGACAATGGGAATATTCAACCATGTGGAAGCTGTCCAGACTCATAACTGATTTGTGGTAAGTTCACTCTACAATGGGCTCACACCACAGGACAAAGACTGCCCGTGCATTCAGGTGAGATCCACTGTGTACCTAGACAGTCTTGAAGCAGATTTACTTCAACTCTTTTATTATTTGACAAAATTAAAGGCTTAGAGCCTTACAGTGATATCTAAGGAATCCTAGTGTGGCACTGTAGGATAAGCACTTGACCATAAGGTCTGTTTGAACCTCAAGGTCGGCAGTTCAAACTCACCAGCAGCTTCTCAGAAACCCTATACAGGGTTGCTATGAGTAGGAACTGACTTGATGGCACTAAACAACAACAATAAAGTGATATCTAGCTACAACGTTTACATTTGAAACATTGATGGACAAATTTTCCGTTAGTCGATTTAGAGAGGCATACATGCATGAGTCCTGGTGGGGCAATGTTTAATCACTTGACTGCTAACTGAAAGGTTGACTGCTTGAACCCAATAGAGGCTCCACAAGAGAAAAGATTTGGTGGTCTCATGGGATTACAGACTAGGAAACACAATGGGACAGTTCTACCCTAGTCACCATGAGTTGGAATTGACTCAATGGCATACATCAACAGATAAAATTCTCAAGGAGAGACTACTGACAATAATCTTTAGCACAGTAAAATTATGAATTCCAAGGAAAACTTTCAACAATGGAGCTTCAGAGTCTCTTTCTGCAAAGTTCTCCTTATTTGTTAGAATTGATCAATCACTTGATAAATATTTTCTGCATTATCCACTTACTCCCTGGCACTTCAGGAGGTAAAACAGGTAAGGTTTCTGCTCTCATGCAGATCATATTCTAGTTGATAAGACAGATAATAAGAAAACAAATACATAAATAATTATACACTACACTAAGAGTCCTGGTATGGCGCTGCGGGTTAATGAACTAGACTGCAAGGTCAGTTTGAACTGCAAGCTAACCAGGGACACTATGAGTTGGAACTGACTTGAAGGCATCAATATGCTAAAGAGTCATGAAGTAAACCAGGTTATATGAGAATTAGTAACAGGGAGAGGTCATTTTGCAAAGAGTGGACTGGGAAGATGACAGAAAACTAATGAGATACGTTAAGAGCTGGGGGAAAGAATTTTAGATTGTAGGAGCAGCAAATACACAAACCTGAAGAAAGGACTTGTTAATGCGAGGAACAGAGAGGGGAAGAGCTCCAGCACAATGATCATGGGAAACAGCAGATGTGAACTGTGAGGTAGGTGGGCACTAGGCTGTACAGTGCTGTGTGTGGATTGTATTCTAAGAGCAATGGAAGTCACAAGAGCCACTGAGTGCCAGGCAGTGTGACACAGGGTGGTTTGTGTCTAAAGGCCACCCTGGCTGTGTGGAGAATGACTGGTCACACAACAAGAGTAGAAGCACAGGAATCAGAACATTTGTGCAGTGGCCCGTGGCAGAGATGATGGTGGCTTGGACCAGGATGTTGACTGTAGGTAGAGAAAAAGCAGTAATAACAATGTTAATAACAGTAGCTACATTTACATGGTACTTACATATCTGGCATTGTTTAAGTCTTTATATTTATTTTATTTACTACCTTTATCTTCCCAACACAGAGAGGTGACTGATTGGAATTAATGAGCAACAGAAAAAGAAAGAAGGGATCAGTCCCAGGTTTTAGATTTATGCAATTAGATGGATTGTTGAGCCAATGACTATAATGAGAAAGACTAAAAAAGGAACAGTATTTTTGAAGGGATGTGATATCAAGAGCTAGCTACATTTTGCACATGTTGAGTAGTAATTCATCAAAAAAGGCAGGCAATGAGGTCATATCCACTCCAATACAATAATACATGAAGGAAACCTGGCCTTCCTAGGAAACTTTGGCTGTCTCAGAAACTTTAGTAGTTCCATGCAGAACTGGAAATGCCCTGTACCTAGTTTTCCTTGTAATTTCACTTATTCCCTATACTTCCATTCTTCTAAAAAGGAAATACTGGTTAGCATCTAAACCAAGGGTTTACAACCAGAATATAAAAATTCATTGTCTCTTTTCCCTATCTTTTTAAAGTCTGTTTCCTATGTTGTTGTTGTTAAGTACCATGGAGTCGGTTCCGACTTATAATGACCCTGCCCAGGATTTCCGAGGCTGTAAATCTTTACAGGAGCAAAACGCCTCATCTTTCTCCCCCGGAACCGCTGGTAGTTTCGAACTGCTGACCTTGAGGTTAGCAGCCCGATTCGTAACCACTACGCTACCAGAGCTCCTTCCTACTCTTTAATATCCTTCTGGCCAAATATAGAAACTAAAAGGTGAGAAAAATCAAGATATGACAAATCTGCAATTTGAGAAATACTCAAAATATGAGTAAATATTGTTCATAGAGTCAGGCTCAAGGTTCAACTCTACATAGGTCTGATTTAATCCTGAGTCAAAATAATGATCCATACATACTATTGTATAACATTCTTCAAAATTCAACATCAAGTATACAATCAGCCTTATAAATAGCATGTATGTGTATTTTTAACTCAAAAATAAGTACTTGGTCATCTTGACATGTATCAAAACCATTTATGTCCATTACAAGATTTATTTAAAAAGTGACATTTTTCTAAAAGTTCTCCTTAAGGTAACTCTTCTACATTTTAATTTTTCATTTTTCAGTTATAAACATTTTCATTTTTCAGATCCATTTTAATAAATTTTCATCATTATCAGGATTTCTTTAATCAGAGTTGTTGTTGTTGCTAATTATTGTTGAGTTGGTTCTGACTCACATCGGACCTGTTTGAGTTTCCAAGAAGCAGCTGGTGAGCTTGAGCCACCAACCTTGTGGTTCAAACCAACCTTGTGCTCCAGTACAGACCCACAGCACTAAAACTATAAAAAGGTCCAGATAACTTGAAAAGTTTTCAACCCTGCCTTATTTAGGATAAGGAATTATATATGGATCTAGGAAAATTAATTTTTTAAAAAGTGAATGAAAATTATGGTCATGTTAGCTGTAGAGACTAGCTACTGTTAAGTATTAGGACATGTGGGCTGCAAAGCTCAGGATATTAAACTAATATTAAAATCCACAACAAAACCATACTGTCTTCAAGTCAATTCCAACTCACAGCAGCCCCAAATGTTACATAAAGCTGAGGGTTTTCTTGGCTGTAGTCTTTATTCAAGTGGATTGTCAAGCCTTTCTCTCATGACGTGCCTGGGTGGGTTTGACTCATCAACCTTTAAGTGAGTAAAGAAATATTTAGAGAAGTCATCAGGAAGGCCTGAAGACATTGGCACAGCCATACAACAAATTTTATCTCTTGTTAGGAGGACAATGAGTTCATAGTTTACCATGATTCTAAGTGCATATAAAGTATTAGGAGGAAAAGAGTATGACTTATCTATAATGCAAATTTATAAAACAGAAATTATTATTCAGAAATAAAACTTCTATGTGAGTTTATTAGGAGTGATCTTTAGAAAGAAAGAACTTATAGACTACCATTTTGAGAGGAATACTAAGGGTTAAGAGGTTGATTACTAACCAAAAGATTAGCAGTTGGATCCTACCCAGAGGTTCCTCAGTTCTAAAGAAAGTTCTGGCGATCTACTTCC